GCCATGTGCCAGTCTTGATCTTGGGTTATTTCTGCAGACATTAAGAGGATACTACTAATCTGTCATGATATTACCAAGGATTTCCTGATTAACTTTATGTATTTTACATCTGGTTATAAAATAGGCAAGGTAGGCATTCTTGTTGACATTTTAAGGCTCAGAGAGGTGGAGTGACTGGCACAGGTCATGTGTTTAGAGAGATGGACCAGTCCCTGCATTTTTTCCATTATCCTCCATTGATCCTCTCTGACCACCTTGTGGATTGTGATAATACATTTCAAATTTAAGGCTACTTTCCCCAGCAATTCACTATATGGTCTGCCTCTCAGAAATTCTGTCCACTCTGAGTTTGTGCGTGTGGTTTCAATTAGTAAGAAATCGGTGAGACCATTTGTGTGTGTGTGTATGTATGTGTGTGTGTGATGGGGTAGTTACACAGCTCATTCGTGTCTTAACTGAAAGTAGAACTGAAATCTTCTCATTTCAAATGCAGATAGTTTTCTTCATCATATATGATACCATCTCACTAAACAGAATGAGGGGAAAATTTCTCTTGCTAGAAATTCCCTATTATGCATCCAAAATGGAATAAAACCCTCAGTGTCTGTCACAGCCGCTGTGCTTGTCAGTTATTGTGGTGACCGGGATGGAACATATCACCTGCCATGGTACCATGGAGAAAAAGGGCTTACTACATTTGGGGGCCTCCCTGTCATTCCATGGGGCTCCCTGTTGTCTATATCCTCCCGCGAGAGCTGCAGTCATGGAAATCCAAGGCTAACAAGCTGTTCACATTAGCGTGTGCTATCTGCATAATAAACACAGCCTTTCTGCTCACTGATTCGTGGCGGCGTCCTCGTGGCATCTTGGTTAAGCAACCAACGTAAACGTGGCGGCCAACAACCAGCAGGTGCACCCCTGCTCCGATAAGATGCTCCTTTCTTTCTGTTCCGGCTCAGGTTTATTTCCCACCCTAATACATATCAGCAAGTCCCCACCACACAAATCATTGTCATTCTCCCAAGGAAGGTCACATCCAGTCAATGGGGAGGCCCCAGGGGGCAGATTCTGGGAGTGGTGGCTTTGCTACGACACAAGGCATGCTGTCCCCTCTCCCCCGAATCACACCTGACCACCGAGGAGCGGGTCCTAGAGACTCATTTTGTGGATGGACTGGCATTAATGGGCACTTTCTTTCCCCAAACGCTCCAGAGAGTCCAGGTTCTGAGGGGTTTGTGGGAGAGAGATTCATGGCTCCCAGGGGACAATGACACTCCATCAGCTCCCTTTGGGGAACTGAGGCTTTGCAGGTTCACAGTCACAGAGGAAAGGAGCCGTGTAATGGGGCTTCCCACTCAGAGACGTGTCTGCCAGCAAAGCTTCTGCTTCCTTTGACCATGAAAGTGGGAGGGATTCTCTCTGGCAAAATTCATAAAAGATTACACGGGGACAGTTCCTTAGTAAATTACTCAGCCTGTTCTGTAAATACATTTCGATGGCTAATGAAGATTAAGAAAAAGCATTCTCACTTCAGCACTCAGCCAGGCTTCTAGAGCATTTCTGGGAAGGATCGGTGTGGGTTAAGGTCACAAAGAGGCAAAATGTAGGCCAGGAAAATGGCACAGACCCAGCACACCCCATCCCTGCTTGTCAGGCTGTTTTAAGGATAAATGAAGGCTTATTAGGGAAATCACAATAAGTAATCTAATAGTGTCACCCCCGTTCAACCAACATATTTATCCCTTGAGAATTAGCTGTCTAAGGAGGCAAAGCAACAGAAAGGTCATTGAACAGAATCTGCTTCCACGTTCCAAACCTCAATTTAAAAAGATACAGATGGTAGTTCTCAACTGGGCAATGTCACAACTGGGGCGGGGGTGCCGTTGGCATCTGGTGGGTAGAGGCCAGGGATGGTGCTAAACATCCCATAATGCACAGGACGTTTTCCCTGTCCAACTCCCCCCACAACAGTGCCGAGCTTTAGAACCCGTGACATGGACAGTCATTGTCACCCCTCCTCCCAGCAGTGGTCGGCACATCTCGTAGAAACGTGGCCTCTCCCCGCCACACTCCTACCTAGTCCTCACTAGTCTTCTCCTAGGTGATGGGGACATTTGATGAAAGCCCTGCCCTTGGGTCACACTCACCTTTCCCTGCTGGTCTGTTTTGATCTCCCAGCCCCGGGGCAGTTCGAGCCGAGTGTCTGCGAACATGTTGATGAAATTCACCAGGTCCCGGTTGTGCTGGTAGCGTTCGAAATTGCGGGCGTCCCGGCGGACTTTCAGGATCATGTGCTTTAAGCAGGTGCTACTGGTGAAGACTCGGTAGGCACTCTGGGAGGGAGGACAGGGGTACGGAGGGGCAGTTAGAGAAGTCACAGACCAAGTGCCCCGGGAACACCTTAACATGACCAAATGTGATCGCAACACACAGATTTCTTGAGAGCTGGGACAGAGGCCTCAGGAGCAGAGATCTTGCTCAAGAAGTAAACTGGAGTCATCAACACACATAGACCTGTTTGTGATCCCCATTCTACCCAACTGCTCTCAGCCTTGGACACTGTGGCCCTCCCCTGTGCATCTTAGCCACCTCCTCCCACCGTCTCAGCCACTCTCGGCTCTCTGCGCACAGCCCTCTCTCTCCTCCACGGTTCCTTCTCTGACTGTGAGCATTGCCTTTGGTCCTCTTAACTGCCTGAAACAGGGTGAATTAATTTGGGGGCCCTGGGGATTGAAGCCTGGACTTCCGACGTCTGCCATTCCTTTGAATCCTATGTAAAAGCCTGTGTGTGTGGAGAGGTTGGGGGATAAGAAGAAATGAAGAAAGTTTCAGGAGTTTCTAAATGTGCCAAATGACAATTTTCTGGTACACAAGGCCGGGTGTGTGTGTGTGCTTGTGTGTGTGCACGTGCTGAACGGACAGCCTGCAGGTAGCCGGAGAGGACTGGCCCAGGGCTCCTGCAGGCTCAGGGCCCACCTGGTGTCTGGTGCGGGGTGCATGGACATCTGCCACGCTTGTTCCCCTGGGTGGCTCCCCCTGCACCCCTGGGAGGCTGCTCTGAATCTAGCCACTGGACATCCCTCAAGAAATAACCTGTTAGAAACTGGTCTCCTCCTCCCCCAGCCACACCCTCCACCACCTAATCAAAGTACTGCACCTGCCCGACGGAGTCACCACTAACCCAGGTGCCCAAGGCAGAAGTCACTCAGTCTTTCTTGAGTCCTCATCATGCGTCCACCTGTGATCACAGGGGACCCCACTGCTACTGACTGCATGAGAAATATCCCTGAATTGAGCCATTCCTCGCCATGCTCCCGCCCCTCCTTAGGTCAGGCCTGGCTCATCTCTCACTGGAGCGGCTGGATCAGCCTCTTGTCTCAGCCTCCTCAGTCTCTCCCACACTCTGCCAGAGAAAATGTTCCATCAGCCCCCTGGCCCGGCAGCCCTGCGTCTAAGACTCCTGCCGGTTCCTGCTGTCCGTGGAAACAGCCCCAGGCTCCTTTTCCCGACCTCCTCGCTATGCTGCTGCTGATCCTTCAGCCCTTCCCTCCTCCTGCCGGCCACATGGACTCAGCCCCGGGCCTGCTCCCAGCAATGTCCTGTTCTTTCTAAAGGACTGTCCCTCTGCCTGGACTTCTTCCTGTCCACTCTCAACCTTCAGAGCTCGCTTCGGCCATTGCCCAAGCCCACCCCCACCCTTATGCTCCCTGGAGGCCCCAGAGCGCCTCATCCTCCCTCAGTTCAGGCCTGGTCCTGTCACACTGGGCTGATCTTTTCATAAGTCGTCGCTCCACAAAACAGGGAGTGCCTACTGCTTAGGTGTCACCCTAATCTGTCTCCGTGACTCCAGCACCCAAATCTCAGCTGGAACCACAGAAAATGTTTATCGAATGGAAGGATTAATGAATATAGCAATATCATGCCGTTGCTTTCTTGAAAGTACCAAAAATATGCAATGAAAGAAAACCTACCTATGTAAAATCACGTCAAATCTAACTTCAGCATGATATTTGAAAAAACTATATCAAAAAGAAATCCAGTTAGTTATCTAGGGGAAATCTGCTTTGAAATGTCTTTAGTGAAAATGATTTTATAAAATATTCCAAACATTTTATAAAATGTTCCTTGAGTGCGTCCTTTTGACTGAATCCAAACTTTATTAAAAGAAATTGTTCTGTGAAGTCTGGATTCAGTCGCGGGGCCACACTTGGGGATCTGGAGGGCGACACGTGGCCTTGAGGACACAGGTTCTCCACTCCTGGTTCGGCTAAAGGAAATCTTGCTACTTCATAATCTTGTTTCTTTAAAATTTTAACAATAATAAAAACACATGTTTGTTTCCAAAGCTCTTCCACTGACATAACACATTTGAGTCTGACAGAAACCCCAGAGAGGCAATAGCATTTCCAGATCCAGCCTTTTTCCTTCTTGGGTGATTCACCTATAGTTAAAAGAGTGGACTGAGCTATCTTTTTTTCTTCCTTGCCTGGGGTAAAATTCTACCCTCTTTGAGCTATCAAAGGATTTTGCAAAACTGCGTTGGGTCTTGAGGAGCCAGGCCAGGCCCTCTGTATTCTGGAGCACTCACATAATTGGCATGCAGCACAGTGAAGAACTCGGGGTTCGTGATGAACTTGACCGCTGGGGACTGCAGCAGCAAGGTGATTTTTTGTGAGTTCACCGGAGAAAGTGACCCTTCTCTCCTCTGATCTGGAAAAAATGAAGCAAAGCAACAGAACACACTGCGAAAAAGTCGTTTCAAACTCAGTACTTGTCTCTCCACAGCAGTGGCACACAAGCCTTCCGCCACACAGCCGGCTGTTGTTTTTAGTAGTGATATAACCAGGGGTCACACTGCTTCATGTATGCCGGTTAAGAATCGTTATTTTCTAGTAGTGTTTGTGCAAACTTCAATTAGGCTCAAGTCCTCTAACATCACCTCCCTTTTATCCCAATGACTTTTTCTTATTTTCTTTACAAGTTGCTAACCACAACTATGGTAGATTGTTTGCAGAAAGGGCCACAATTCTTCCCCTCTTCATAGCCACAGCCAGTTGCAATGGGACTTTGCAGCTCCTCCTCTTGGTGAATCGCAGCTGGACTTGTGCCTTGTTTCAATCAACAGCAATGGCAATGGGTCAGTTCTGAGTCAAGGTTTCAAGACATCTGTGTGTTGATTTAGGCAGAGCAAGATGGCCAAATAGAAACCTCCGGCAACCGTCCCTCTATACGAACACCTAATTCAACAACTTATCTACGCAAGCAAGCACCTTCGGAAGAACCAAAAGTCGATCATACTACCTGGTTTTAACATTATATCAAGAAAAGAGGCACTGAAGAGGGCAGAAGAGACAGTCTGGCATTGCCTACGCCACCCCTCCCCATCCCCCCTACCGGCAGTGCTGCACCAGCGCCTAGAGTGGAGAGAGAATCTGCCTGCTGGGGGAGGGAAAGTGAAGGGATTGCGGGGCTTTGAATCAAAACTCAGGGCACAGGGAACACAACACAGGAGAGAATCCTGCCGGTGCCCATGGGGAGAGCATTTTGACCAGCCTGGACAGAGGGAAATCCTCCGCCCCAAAGCCCATGTTCCTGCTAGCCCCCCACCGGCAGAAGAGCAGCCTGGGGCCTCAGCTAAATTCCTAAGGCAGTCAGGCCACAAGGGCTGCAGTCCTGCAGCAATTCCCATGGCTGTGCTGGCTCATAGCCAGTGGACTTGGGGTGGCCATGACCCAGTGAGACACCAGCAACTACAGCCATGCCAGTGCTTGTGTCACCCCTTCCCCAAGCACAGGCATGGTGGCTCAGGGAGAGTCTTCTTCCACTTGAGGAAGAGCTCAGAGGACTTTCTTTGTTTTGCAACTTGGGTACCAGCTCAACCACAGTAAATAAAGTTCCAAGCAGACTCCTGAGGCCTCAGTTCCTGGATGGCATTTCTGGACCCACCCTGGGCCAGAAAGAAATGTGCTGCCCTGACAGCAAGGACCTAGTCCTGGCAGGATTCACCACCTGCTGCCTAAAGAGCCCTTGGCCTTCGAATAAACATCAGAGGTAGCCAGACAACTGTCACCACTGGCTTTGGGTGAGATTGGTCTGGCTTTAGGTGTGACCAGGCACTGGTGGCCACGTCACTTCTTCCGCAACTCCAGCAGCCCAGCACAGAGAGTGAGGGAAGAGAGTGGGAGACTTTGCCTGGTAATCCAGGGAATTCTCTTGTATCTTACCCAGGCTCACCAAGTTGGTACCACCAGGAGTCTGCAAGAGTCACAGCATTATTGGGCTTGAGGCACTCCCAGTGCTGACATGGCTGCAGTGACCAGAGACCTAGATCACAAAATTCAATTCCATTTGAGTATCTGGAAAGTCTTCACAAGAAGGACAGGTTCTAACAAGCCCAGACTGTGAAGATTAAAATAAATACCTAACTCTTCAGTGCCCAGACATCAATGAACATCTACAAGCATCAAGAACATCCAGGAAGACATGACCTCACCAAATGAACTAACTAAGGTACCAGTGAGCAATCCTGGAGTTATGGAGATAGGTGACCTTGCAGGCAAAGAATTCAAAATAGCTGTCCTGAAGAAGCTCTATCAACTTCAAGGCAACACAGAGAAGGAATTCAGAAGCATATCAGAGAAATTTAACAGAGACTGAAATAATAAAAAAGATAAAACAGAAATTCCAGAGCTTAAGAATTGTGTTGACAAACTGAAAAATGCATCAGAGTCTCTCAATAGCAGAATTGACCACGCAGAAGAGAGAATTAATGAGCTTAAAGACAGGCTATTTGAAAATATACAATCAGGAGAGAGAGAAAGAGAGAGAGAGAGAGAGAGAGAAAGGATAAAGAAGAATGATGCACACCTACAAGATCTAGGCAACAGCCTCCAAAGAGCAAATTTAGGAGTTATTGGCCTTAAGAGTAGGTAGAAAGAGATTGGGGTAGATAGTTTATTCAAAGAAATAATAAAAGAGAACTTTCCAAACCTAGAGAAAGATATCAATATTCAGGTACAAGAAGGTCATAGAACACCAACATATTTAACCCAAACAAAGCTACCTCAAGGCATTTAATAATTAACCACTCAAACGTCACAGATAAAGAAAAGGTCCTAAAAGAAGTAATGAAAAAGAAAAAAATAACATATAAAGGAGCTCCAATACATCTGGCAGCAGACTTCTCAGTGGAAACATTATAGGCCAGGAGAGAGTGGCAAGACATATTCAAAGTGCTGAAGGAAAAAATCTTTAACCCTTGAATATTACATACTGAAAAAATATCCTTCAAACATGAAGAAATAAAGACTTTCCCGGACAAACAAAAGCTGAGGGATTTCATCAACACCAGACCTGTCCTACAAGAAATGCCAAAATGGAGTCCTTCAACCTGATAGAAAAGGATATTAATGAACAATAACAAATCTTCTGAAGGTGTATTACTCACTGGTAACAGTAAAGACACATATACAGAATACTCTATTGCTATAATTGCAGTGTATAAACCATTTATGTCTTGAGTAGGAAGACTAAAGACAAACCTATCAAAAATAACAATGACAACTGTTTGAGAGATAGATAGTATAAGAAGATATGGATGGAAACAACAAAAAGTTAAAAAATGAGAAGGGATGGAATTAAAGGGCAGTATTTTTGTTAGATTTCTCTTTGCTTATTTATTCATTTGTTTATAAGCAGAATTGTCATATGTTTAAAATAATTGGTTATAAAATGTTTCTTGGAAGCCTCATGGTAACCTCAAATCACAAAACCAATAGCTACACAAAAAAAATAGAAAAACAAGAAATTAAAACATACTACCAGAGAAAATTACTTTTAACAAAGGAAGATGAGAAGGCAGTAAGACAAAAAGAGAGGACCACAAACTAACCAGAAATCAAATAACAACATGGCAGTAGTAAGTCCTTACCTATGGATAATAACATTGAATGTGAATGGACTAAACTGTCCAGTCAAAAGACATAGAGTGGCTACATGGATTAAAAAGACACAAGCCAACTATATGTTGTCTGCAAAAAATACACTTCACCTATAAAGGCACACAAGACTAAAAATAAAGGAATGAAAAAAGACATTCCATGCAAAAGGAAACCAAAAAAGAGCAGGAGTAGCTATACTTCCATGAGATAAAACAGATTTCAAGACAAAAACAGTAAAAAGATACAAAGAAGGTCATTATATAATGATAAAGGGTCAATTCAGCAAGAGGATATAACAATTCTAAATATATATGCACCCAACACTGGAGCATGCAGATATATAAAGCAAATATTATCAGAGCCAAAGAGAGAGATAGACCCCAACACAATGATAATTGGAGAGTTCAACAACCCACTTTCAGCATTGGACAGATCATCCAGACAGAAAATCAGAAACATTAGACTTAATCTGCAGTATAGACCAAATAGATATTAATATTTACAGAACATTTCATCCAACAGCTGCAGAATTCACATCTTTCTCCTAAGCTTGTGGATCATTTTCAAGGATAGACCATATGT